GGTGTATTTATTTTTATTTTCATGAGTGTAATATGGGAAGAACCTATTTATCGTTTTGTTGTTGGTCCTCATAAAGGAAATGGTGGTGCAATTTGTGGAAATGATGGTGGCGTTTGGGGAAGATCAGAAACATTAGACATATCTTTTGAAGAAGCAAGAGCATGTTCTAGAATTTTTTATCATCCAACTACTGCACTTCCATTTTCATTAAGTGGTGTTTCATTTGAAGTTAAGTCAATTAGTGAAGATGAAACAGTCAATTGGATAACAGCAAAATCACCAAAATATAAATGTGGATGTACATTAGTTGAAACAGGAACAGGATATGTTATTGGTTATTATGATAGTCCTATTACTGAAGAAGAAAATTTAAAAGCAACACTTCAACTAGCACGACATGTAACAGAAAGAGGATATTAAAGGTAATTTACATTAATTTATAATACATTTTTCTTTCTTTGTTTGCTTGTTCGTTTATTTTTTTCTTTCTTTTAGTAAAAAAGAAAGAAATAATCATTAAGATCTTTAAATTTTCATTTCATACACATGAACTCAAGAAAATTACCATATTGTCCTGCACCTTCAAGTGTTAATAATCTTAACAATCCATATTCACCATATTCTAGTTCATATCCTCCAAATAAAAATCAAACAATTTCATCTTCTATACCTTCAACTTTGTCAAATGAAATAAATAAAATAAATATTCACTCTGAATCACGTGGTAGTTTTAGTACTCCACAATCAATTTCAATGCAAAAGTTATATACAAAAACTCCATATTATAATACTAATACAAATAGTTCATTAAAAAAGAATTTAACTTCACAACAATCAAGAAGTCCAATAAAAATAAGAGATGATAGAGAAGAACAAGACAGACAAAGAGAAGAAATTTATAAACAATTACCAACTGAACAAAAAATATTATCAGAAAAAAAACAAAATCAACGATGTGAAATATGTCAACAATTTGGAAAAATGACACATGTTTTTCATTCAATTATACCAAATCCAGAAGATTTTTGGAGAATATTAATTGATAATGGAGATAATATTGCTGAACATGAATTAACAGTACAATTTATATTACGAACAAATATTAGTATAAGTTCATTTGTTATTTCAGATGATAAAACAAAAAAAATAGAAATTAAAAATGAAAAAGAAAGAACGATATTAAAAAAAATATGTGATCCATACGCTATTAACATTAATGAATTAAAAAATAATATCGCTACTATTGAAAAAACTATATTCGTTAAAAAAATTATTCAAATAAATATTAAAACTATTAGAGAAATATTAGAAGAATCAATGAAAATAAATAATATTAATAAACAAAGACATTCAGTTGTTATTATTGATGATGATGATTTAATTGAAGAAACAGAAAAAATAAAACAAATAGAAACACAAGAAATAGTAATGTTTATATTAGAATTATTTAATGAATTATCTATTGATTCATTTAATTCATTTTTAATTAATATGGAAGAAATTGAAGATAGAATTTGTAAAAAATATCATGTTAATTCATTTAATCAAATTAATAAAGAAGAATTTACTTCATTTTGTGGAAAAAATATAATATTTCCATTTAATCAAAATTATAAAAAAAAAGTAATTCCAATGAAAATTCTTACAAGAGAAGTTCCAATAAAAGAAGAACCATTAAGTATTGTTATTAATGAAATTAATAAAGCACCATATTTAATAAATTTATATGATAATTTATTATTACATTCTATTGATTTAGAAATGATTATTTCAACATATAATTTTAATTCAAATATTTTTATTGAAATTAATAAAAATAATTTAATTAAATTACCAAATTGTAATTCTATTAATGTTGAAACTATTACAAATAAAAATATTAAGAATATTAATATTATTACTGGTATTTTTATTTCTCATTTATTTGATGAAAATGGTCCTAAAGAAGGTGCTTCTAAATATTTTCCAATTTTAATGAAAAGTTTTGATTTAAATGGTATTTCAATTAAAACAAAAATTAGTAGAGCATTATTTGTTGCATCTCTTTTAAATGAATTACCAATAGAATTTATTGGATTATATTTATTAGTTAAAACAATTCTTAATATATTTAATTTAACTTTAAATGAACTTATATCATTATCATTAAATAATATTTGTTTCTTAAAACTACCTATTTTAAATGAAATAAAACGATGTTTTCCAAATGAATTATTAACTATGAATACAATGAATATTGAAACATTTCCATATCAAATTAATAATTCAATTGAATATAATACTAATAGATTTGAATTTCCACTTCCAATTGAAATTATTATTGATTGTTATACAACTAATACTAATGAAGAAATTAAAATTATTGATTTTCAAAATACTCTTTTATTAAATAAACTTCAAAATGAAATTAAAAATAATAATATTGATTATCTCATGGCTTTCTTAATGTATTTAAATCAAAATCAAAAAGAAATTATTCATACTTTTCATACATTACAAGTTACTTCTTCTTCTATTATTCAAACTAAAAATTATTCTTCTTTTTATACTTCTCTTAAAAATTTAAAATGGATTTTTTCTTCTTTAAATTCATTTGAAACACCATTTTCAATTATTAATTCAAAACCAATTAATTTTTTAAATATTCCATGTACACCATTTTTAATTTCAGAACCATTAAATTCTTATATTGCAACTAAACCATTTCCATTACCTGAAAATATATTAAGTTGTTTATATCAAAATATTAAAGGATATGACCAAAATTATTTTGATTTTTTATCTGTAATTTCACAACTAAATATTAATTTATTTAATGAATATATTAAAAAGTCTATTATTTATTCTAAAATTACTAATAACATTACTCAAACTTATATTAATAAAGATCAAGTATGGTTTAAACCAAATGAAGTGTTTATTAAAGATAAATCTGGATTTTATCCTATTCTCTCTGTTAATAATAAATTTTATGATTTATTTAAATCTATTGGTGTGAAATATAAACCTTCCATTACTGATTATATTGATGCTTTAATTCATTTAAATCAATTACAAAATCAAATTTCATTGAATAAAAAATTACTAACAATTAAAAATATTTTAAAAGAATTAATTAAACAAAGTGATAAGATTAATGTTACTTTACCAATGATTGAAAGAATTAAATCATTAGATACTTTTATTAATCAAAATGAAAAATTAGTGTCTTCATTAACTGGATTATATTATGATGATTTATTATTTATTAAAGATTATTTCCCTTCTTCTGTTAAAGATCATTTATTAGACTTAAATCTTCCTTATAAATTAATTAAAAACAAAATATTTTTATTATTAAATATTAAAAATGCTCAAAGTGTAATTAAAATTAATTTTGATACTTCAATTTCTTCTTCAAATACTCTTACTTCTATCTTAAGAAAAGTTTTAAATAAAGTTCTTCCTTTAGTTAAATCAAGTCAACTTATTGAAAATTATAAATTATATTTATCTTCTCTTGTTGTTTATTCTCATGGTACTTTAAATCCTACTTTTACATTTATTCCTACAAATTCAAGTATTACTCCAAAAATAACTGCTGTAAGGGATGGAATTAATTTACACGTCTTAGATAGAACTTCTATTTGTTCTTATGAAGCTCTTACTATTTTATCTCATTTGTTTTTCCTTCAAAAAGATGAATCTTTTATTACTTTAATGCTGAAAGAACTTAGTAACGCTTATCCTATTCAAATTGAATCTTCTTCTTTATCTGAAACTGATCATATTAAAACCAATACTATTAATTGGAATGTTATTAAAGATGGAATTAAACAATCTAATTCAATTCTTAATGATGAAGAAATTGAAATTAAAGTTGAACCTTTTCAATTCATTCCAAATATTGAAAAAAGAATTCAAACAGGTGTTGCTGGTGAACAATTCATTTGTCAATATTTAAAAAGAAAATTTGGAAATAAAGTTAGTTGGATTAATGAAAAAACTCCTTCTGTTGAGTCTATTGAGAAAGGTTTACCTTATGACCTTTTACTATTTAATGACTTAAATACTGTAGAAACTTATATAGAAGTTAAAACAACTCAATATAATGATAAAGATTTCTTTGAATTATCTTATCGTGAATGGTCTTTTGCTCAAGAACAACGTTCTCATTTTCATATTTATAGATTATCTGGATTTGGAACTGATACTTTAAAAATTAAAATTATTGTAGATCCTTATGGTAAGTGGTTAAAAGGAGAAGTTCATCTTAAATTTTACTTCTAAAGTTTTAATTATTATTTCTTATTATAGTAAAATTATTATTTTTTTTTATTTTAAATCTTTCATTTTATTTTCTTTTCATCATTTATTGAATCATATTCGTTCTTAATGTAATATTATAACTCTAAAACATTGTTGATCTCTTTTTATTGTTTCATTATATAATTATGAATTATTCTTCTTTAGTAAAAAGAATGAAATAATACAATAAATATAATTAAAGAAGAATAAAAGAAATATGAATAATAATAGAAATAAATAATAATAATGATAAATAAACAAAGTAAAATAAAAGTACTATCAAACAATATTTTATGATATTAAACAATTTATTTATATTTATTTCATTATTTATTTAATATTTCTATTTAATACATTAACATGTTTAAATTACTATAACTATTATAGAAATAATAATTAATGATAATAGTCATATGTTTTAATAACAAATTCATAAATCATTTATCAAAGAAAATAAAAATAAAATAAGAATAAAATCAATGATATTGTTATTATTTTATTATGTTATTTTAATTTTGATTTTATATTTATTCTTTTCTTTTTATCTTTTCTTATTATCACTCATTTCTTCTTTTTGTCTTTTCTTCTTCATCTTTTAATTTATTTTATATATTCTTCTTTGTTTATCTCTATTCTTCTTTCTTCTACCATCTCCTTAACATAAGTCATTAGTATTTATTGATAGTTATTATTTATACTGTTGATAATTGGATTAGATTTGTTAGAAAATGACTTAGTTAATAATATTCTTATTCCAAACAATAATACAACAAATAGATTATACTTCATTTCTCATAAAAACATTACTCTTCTTCCACATATCTTTCATTTTTATTTACCCCCTACATGATTTTTTATCAAATGAACTTTTGTCTTTGTTTGATTTCTTACTTTGTTTTACTAAAATAAATTATTTGAAGATAATAAGGTATAGTACAAAACTAATACCTATGATTTAAAAAAGTATATCATTCAAGTAAATTTCTTTGTTAATAATAATATCGAATATAATATTACACCTCTATTTCATGCCATAACTATTGTCCAAATAACTCTGTTATCTCAAATAATGATATGTGATTAAAACATATCATTTTCTTTTTTCTAAAAAAAATATTTTTCATTTTTCCTGATTTTTTATTGTAAATATTAACCAAATAATCAAATAAAATTAAACTTATAATTTCATCTTTCAATTCTTCTTTTTAATTTTTTTCAAAAGAAAGAATCTTAAAAAATGAAAACAACTCAAAAACGTTCTTGAACTAATTAATCAGAGAACAATAATGGCACCAAACTTGCTTCTTGAATC